CTTAAAACATATTTTAATATACTTTTAATATATTTTAACATAATTTCTTAAACCTTAAAAATTTTTATTGCTAAAAATTTTTTAGCATCTTAATAAAAATTTGTAGTAAGTACAACTTGTCTCTTTAAATTTTATAATGATTAAATTAAATTAAAAATATTAAATCAAATATTAAAGTTATTAAATATTGAAGTTATAAAAAATTAAAATAATTAAAATAATAAACAAGTCAAAACTAAAAAAATATAAAATAAAAAAAAAAAAAAAAAAAAATATTTGAGCTTTCATCATAACAAATAACCTAAAAGTAAACAATTGAAATCATAAAATCAATCAGCAAATTATAATAACACCAGTATTTTTAATTGGGGATTATCTTTGTAATGCCCCATTAAAAATACTTGTGTTATTATAATTTGGTAAAACATGTAATAAATATAACAAAAGGTAAAACATGTAAATCAATTCGCAAGGTTATAATAGGAATATGCAGTCCAAGTTTAAAATACATAGCATGTAATGGAAATGCAACTTTATGAAATATCAAATAACATAGTATAAAAAAATTCAGCATAAATCAATTAGTTTTAATATTGACATAGTAAACATAACTTTAAATTTGCTAAATTAATACATATAAAAACAAAATGCAATAATATTTTTCATTAAAAAACCACGCAATGATTGGTGTTGAAATTTAAATAAAGTTTTAATCAAAATCAATGACCACATAAAAGTATTGATATGCAATTATTTAAGATTTGATAAAGTAATCTCTTGAGATATTATTTTCTACTTATTTTACTACAATAGTTTTTGTTAAAAACACTTAAACATATATATATATATATATATATATATATATATATATATATATATATATATATATATATATATATATATATATATATATATATATATATATTCAAATAAAATCTAATCTTGCATTAACAATATTGGTGCAAACTTCAATTAAAACTATTATTCAAATTGTTTATAATTCTCCCTTTAGGTTAATTATCTATTGAGCAACCCAACATTAAAACTAAATAAATTTGTATTCATTTATTTATGCTTTAATTGTGCAGGTGTAGGCAAGTGTTTAAAAATTATAACCATTTGTTATAACCAGTCAGCATGTCTGATTATTATAAATATTAGTAACTTATTAGAAACTGTTTTATGAATTTATACGTTAGTTTTCCATTTATACTTTAATTTTCAGATAAAACTCAAGGTAATGATCAGTTTAATCACAATTAAACCTTATTTGAAAAATTTTATAAACTTAAAAAGAAAGATCTGATAATATATCTGAAATGAGGTGGTTTTTGATAAAATATTAGTAAGTTTCACCAATGGTAGTAAGTTTATACAACAATTGGCAAAACAAGGCTTTTAGTTGAAAAAATTACGAAATAAAAATTATTTTCTTTTTTTTTTTTATAATAACTTATGTTATTTGTTGCACAACTTGTTCTTATTTTGTTGTAAATTACTAGATGTTAATAATGTACTTGGTTTTTTCTACAGACGTTATAATTTATTGAACTGACTGTATTAAAAACTATAAAGACTCTATACTATATGAACTATGTATTGAACACTTATACTGGTATTTATTATATGGTATATACAGGTTTGGTCAGGAAGGCATGAAATTTCATGGCTTTATATGACTACACATACAATATTTTGTTTTCACGATTTGACGACAGTTTTAACATTTTAATAAAGCACTGAAAACTTAATTTAGTTATAAAGAAACTAAAAAAAAAAACTTGTTTCATAAAAAAAAAAAATCATCATAAAAAAATAATAAAAAATAAAATAAATATAGCTCAGTAACAAATAACTTAAAAAAAAAAAAAAATAAAAAAAAAACTTAACTAAATTGAATAATAGACAACAATTACATAGAAATAAATTAGAAATAAAGATAATAACATTAGAAATAAATATCTTTGCATTTTTACTTATGTTTTTATAATGTAAAACTAGTAGTGTCCCATCTGCTTTGTTACCACACTATATAAAATTATATTATTAGTAAAAAAAAAATAAAAATATATAGTACTAATCGACAAAAAAATGTAAATAAACATATTTGTTTTTATAAAAAAATTGATTGCTCATTTTTTAAAAAAATGAGTAGAAAACTATTTTATTATGAATGTAAAATAATGAAGTATTTTCTGATGGATGTAAAATAATGAATGTAAAATAATGAAAATAAATGAGTAGAAAACTACTTTCACAAGAAAACTATTTTTAATATATTCAAAAATAATGACTGACTTACGAACGAAAAAAACATGTTTTTTTCTTTAATATATAGACATAGCAAAACCCTTTTAAACAAAGTAACAACTTTAAACGACTTTTTAATAAATAAACACATTTAAAAAATAACAAAAAAAAAAACTTTACAATTCTTCGTAGTAATGCAAACAAAAGAAAAATAATTGAATCTCAGAAATCCTATATCAGGAAGCAAATGAGGAAAAGTGAAGATAAAAACGAAAAATAACGAACAAAACTATTCTTTTAATTAATAATTTGATTTAATTTGTTAATAATTTAGTTTTTTTAAATTTCAAGACGAAAGAAAAATACATTATTACTTTGATGTAAAAAAATCATTAGCAGTGAAATGTTACTTTATTTAAAAACGTTTTAATAATATAAAAACATTAGTAAAGATCAAAGTTCAATTCAAATGGCTGTCTTTAATTCAAAAGTTTGTCTTTTCTTCTTCTTAACAAAATCTTTTAAAGTGTATTAAATTTAATGATTCTTAAATAAAGTTTATATAAGAGACAATCGTTGTTTAAAGCCAACGCTTATAAAATTTAAATAATTTAAAGATTAATTATAAAAAAATTGTCATATTTATTAACTATAAAATCTTAGATGTATTTAAATAACGTAAATATATTTAAATAATATAATATATTTCAACGCATTTTTAAAATGTAAAAAATTGTGGTCAAATCATCAATATAAAGTATTATTTGTGTGGTCATATAATGACGTGTCTACCTGAACAAGCCTGGGTATATATATACATATAAGAATATTTATATATATATATATATATATATATATATATATATATATATATATATATATATATATATATATATAATTAAATAAGTATATATTGAGGAGAGTGCTATGTACATATATATAAATATATATATATATATATATATATATATATATATATATATATATATATATATATATATATATATATATATATATATATATATATATATATATATATACATATATATATAAATATATTTATATGTATATATATGTACATATACATAAATATATATATATATATATATATATATATATATATATATATATATATATATATATATATATATATATATATATAAAATTAAATAAGTATATATTCAGGAGAGTGCCTAATGAATAAAAGTAAATTAAATTAAAACAGGGCTGTATTTATGTATTTTTTATAATCTAAACTTCAAGTTTGTTACAGCAATGCATTTCAAGCATTTTTTACCTGATGATTGCATTTCTAGTCTTGGAAAAAAGTTTAAGACCACCACGTATAAATGCTTTACTTGTGAGTTTGTGTGTGTAATGTTAAAGAGCGTAATAATAATGAAAATAGTATGTATTATAAAATAAAATTTGTCTGCTTTTTCCTTCTTTTGTATTATTTCTGTTTAAAAGCGCACCTTGTTCTTGTTTTTGAGATTGCATAAGAAATAGGCAAAGCAAGAATTTGTCACCAACAAATCGGGCACAGATTGTGGCATACAGCCGAGCTGGGCGAAGCGAAAGAGAGATTGTAGCATTGTTAAAGACTTCTAAAATTGCTGTAAACAGTGCAATAAAACGTTTCACTGACAAGAAGAGAACAGGGCAACCAAAGAAGACCACCCCAAGAGAAAATCGAAGCATTTGCAGAATAGTTACAAACAATCCATTTATTAGTTCAGCGACTGTTTGGAAAATGCTCAACGATATCAGCAATGTAAATGTTTCTTCCAGAACTATGAGAAATAGTTTGATAGAATGTTGCCTCAAGTCCTATTGTCCAGCAAAGAAACCAAGATTGACACCAAAAATGAAAGAAAAAAGATTGAAGGTTGCTCTGAAATATCGAGATTGGACAGAGGAAATATGGATGAAGGTTCTCTGGTCAGATGAACCTACCTTTGAACAGTTTGGAATAACTGCAAAACATGTTAGAAGACCAAGCCAAAAACATTATGATGACAAATATACTTTGAAAACAATTAAACATTCACAGTCTGTTATGATTTAAGGTTGTTTCAGTGGAAATGGTCGCAGTGCAATAGAGTTTATAGGAAAGAAAGAACGCATGAATGCTGCCAGATATTAGCGTATCTTAAAATCAAAACTACCCAACTTTTTGAAAATCTTGCAATGCACTGACTTTATGCAGGACTCTGCAACATGCCGTACAGCTAAGGTATGTAAGAAATGGTTTCAGGAGAGTCATATTGACGTGTTAAAATGGCTCAGCAATTCATCCGACCTTAACCCGATAAAGAATTTTTGGAACATGATGAAAATTTGAACATCATAAAAGCAGCCTGGAAGCCTAACTGACTTAAAAGAAGTTATTAAAAAAGTGTGGGTGACAGATATAACCCCTAAAGTGTGCAGGAATTAGGCTACTTCAATAAAGAAACGTTTGGCAGCAGTCATTGCAAACAAGGGTGGTTCAACAAATTACTAGTGTTTTGATATTGTTTTGTACTTTTTATAGCTGTGGTATTAGCTAAGTTTAGCTAAGTTTTATATATGGTGCTATAACTTGGTGCTACGTTTGATTTTAGCTGCTGTGGACATTATTTTAATGCATTTATTTTTTATTTGTGAATCAATTATTTTGTACTGTTGAAATTTTTTCATTAAATTTTTTGCAAGTGGTCTTAAACTTTTTTCCAAGACTGTAGCATGAAACTTATAGTGGTAAAAAT